TCCACCCGCCTCAGCCTCCCAAAGTGCTGGGATTACAGGTGTGAGCCGCTGCACCTGGCCGGAAGAGATTTCTTACAGGAAACTGGTTCCTGTGATTATGCAGGCAGATGAGTCCCAAGATCTGCAGGGTGAGTCGGCAAGCTGAGACCCAGGAGAGCAAATGGTTTCATTCTAGACCAAGTGCAAAGGCCTGAGAGCCAGGAGAGCCGATGTCTCATCAGAGGAAAGGGTCCAAAAGCAGGAAAAAAGCTGATGTCCCAGCTTGGAGGTCAACAGGCAGGAAGAATCCTGTGTTCTTCCTCAGGGGAGGGTCAGCCTTTGTTCTGTTCAGGCCTTCAACTGATTGGATGAGGCCCACCCAGAAACTCGGGAGGGAAGGTGTAGTCCACTGATTTCAATGTTCCTCTCAACCCAGCACTCTCACAGAAACACCCAGACTAATGTTTGACAAAAATATCTGGGCACCCTGTTGCTTAGTCAGGTTGACACATAAAATTATCCTTTATACAAGGTTATTTTGAGGATGTACTAAATGAAATTGCATCTGTGGAAGCGTTTGGTAAACTGTATAGGTGGTAGGAAGTTGAGCTAATCACTCCACACCCGTGCCTTATTCTTGGCCTGAAATTCCGCTCTGCTCTCTCAAAGATAATGTCCTTGTGCTGAGGGATGAAGGATGTGGTAGCCATGGAAGGGAAAGGTAAGGGGTGTAGCAACTGACAAATGCATCTGTATGTGGAGCCAGGACCCGAGCACCTGGGGGAACCTTGCACTGATGAAAAAAGACAACTAGAGAGGCTGAAGTACAGAGCTGCCCAGGGAGACGGACCAGGCAGGGTCTGGCTCCTTGGTGGCCTCTCCAATGAGGAGTCACAGTGGAGACAGTCCCAGTCCATCCTTGTCACCGTGTCTGTGGCTTGCTATTCCTATCAGTCTCATGCAGGAAAGTGCCAGGACCAGGGGGCCATCCCTCTCCTCATGTCCCCTCAAGCTAAAGGTTATGGGTATACAGACAGATGGACAGACACACACACACACACACGCATGCATGCATGCACGCACACACACACACTCCCTGTAAAGCTAAATTAAATTAGACAAGGATTCAAAATCTTACCAGAAGCAAGGCAGGGCCAGGTGTGGCGGCTCATACCTGTAATCCCAGCACTTTGGGAGGCCAAGGTGGGCAGATCACTTGAGGTCAGAAGTTCAAGACCAGCCTGGCCAATGTGGCGAAACCCCGTCTCTACTAAAGATACAAAAATTAGCCAGGTGTGGTGGTGTACACCTGTAGTCCCAGCTACTCGGGAGGCTGAGGCAGGAGAATCACCTGAGCCCAGAAGATGGAGGTTGCAGTGAGCTGAGATCGTGCTGCTGCTCTGCAGCCTGGGTGACAGAGGGAGACGCTATCTCAAATAAAACAAGGAAGAAGCAGCAGCAAGGCAGGAACACAGGCAGTACCACCCCTGGGCCTCCTTTCGCTCTCGGGAATGGAGGAGGCAGGGAGCAGGCACCTGCCTCAATCCCTGGCAAATAGGATCTCACTGGAAAGCTGGATTTACTTTCATGGTGCCACCCCTGAACAGTAGGGTTGACATCATATTTACTGAGCACTTGCTTAGTCTGAAGGGTCAGGTGGGCTGTGGCTTAAAGCCCAGCTCTTGTGCTTGCTTCCTGTGACACCTTGAACTAGTCTAAATTCTCTCTTCCTAACACTGCAGTTCCCAACCCTGGCTAAAATTACCTGATGAACTTCAAAAATAACAACCACAGCTGGGCTCGGTGGCTCACGCCTTCCTAACAAGCCTGGTTATCTGGTAACCAAACTGGGCAGACTAGAAGCAGCAAATTAGAAAACACAGAGATGTGGTTGGGCGTGGTGGCTCATGCCTGTTATCCCAGCACTTTAGGAGGCCGAAGTGGGTGGATTGCCTGAGCTCAGGAGTCCATGATCAGCCTGGGCAACATGGCAAAACCCCGTCTCTACTAAAAATACAAAAGTTAGCCAAGCGTGGTGGCATGCTTCTGCAATCCCAGCTACGCCCAGGAGGCTGAGATAGGAGAATCACTTGAACCTCGGGAGGCAGAGGTTGCAGTGAGCAGAAATCGTGCCCTCTGCTCTCTCTCCAGCCCTGGGCAAACCAAGAGCGAAACTTCCGTTCTCAAAAAAAACAAAAACAACACAAAATTAAATAAACAACACACACACACACCAACACAACACACACACACACACAAAACCCAAAACCTGCGGGCCCAACAAGCCTGGAACCCATAAAAATAGAGACCCCTCTTGGGAGGGAACCCAGACTTCAGTAGGTTGAACTTCCCAGCGTGATTTGGAATACATGCATCTCGTCTGTTGTTTTACTTCCTTTTTTTCTTTTTTTTTCCCTTTTTTTTTTTTTTTGTTTTTTTTATTTTTTTTGTTTTTTTTTTTTTTTTTTTTTTTTGAGACAGAGTGCTGACTCTGTTGAACTCCCCTGGCCTGAAGTATATAATTGCAAACGATCCTGGCAGCAATCCTGGGCCACTGCAACTCTGCCCCATTCCATGGGGTTCAGTGATTTCCATGCGGCCTCAGCCTTCCTCCTCCTGAAGTGATCTGGGATTACAAAATGGTGCCACACACCATGGCTAATTTTGTGTGTTTTGTTTTGTTTGAGACAATGAGTCCTTTGCTCCTGTCACTCCCAGGCTGGGAGTGCAGTTGGGCCAACAAATTCCTCATCTCACTGGCAGTCCTCTGGCTTAAACCCGGGGTCCAGTGATTCCCTCCATGTCCTCCAGCCCCTTTGGGTAGGCTGGATTACAGCGCACACTCACCCAACAGTACTTGCTAATTTTTTGGTATTTTAGTAAGAGATGGGGGATTTCCCGCCATGGGGTTGCCCCAGGCTGTGGTCCTCCAACTCCGATGCTCAGGCAATCCACCCACCTTGGCCTCCCAAAGTGCTGGGATAACAGGCGTGAGCCACCGCACCTGGCCACATCTCTGTGTTTTCTAATTTGCTGCTTCTAGTCTGCCCAGTTTGGTAATCAGATAACCAGGCTTGTTAGGAAGGCGTGGAAGAGGGGTAGGGGTATTAAATCGACCAATTCAATGCACCTCCAAATTCAAATTGGAGCCCCAGAGGCAAATTACAAGGAGGCAGATTTTGGCTCAGGCTGCTAAGAACCGAGGCCATGTCTTCATGACCAGTCTATGTACCACACACGATGAGCAGTTTGTGTAAATTTTTATTGAGTATGCCTAATTTTGCCCACCTTGAGGACTTACCCAGTTTAGTTGACTTTGCTACAAATAGTTTTTGGCTGTTTCCAGAAGTCAAATCCTTCCCAAGAGTTATCTCAGTGCCACTTCTTGTAATAGCCAGTTCCGTAACCTCTCTGCGTTACCCAGCTTCCTGCCTACGAAGGTCGTGGTGATCACCCACATGTCACACTGTGGAGAGATTTCAATGAAATAATGAGAGTGTGACGGCTCTGGATTGCACTGGCTGAACCTGATAAAGGTAGGCCCTTATGCCAGCAGTGAGATCTTAAAGGACTGCGTTCACTCCTGACTCTGAAAGTCATTCTAACCCTGGTTTTGAAGTCAGATGACCTGAGTTCAGCCTTATCACCCAGTAGTGATGTGACTCTCTGAACCTCAGTTTTCTCATGTGATTGAGGCTGTGAGGGTCAAATGGGCTAATACCCATAGGCCCCTTAGCGCGAGCCTAACATTTGGCAGATGTTCCATCAATGTTGATACCTTTGTTAATTACCCTTGAAGTAAACCTATAGCCTACCTAGGTGATGATTTTGAAGGGAATGCTTATTTGGATATGTAAGTCTGGAGCACTTGTTATGAAAACAGCCCACCAGTCTGTGGTCATAGCTCACCCATAGGTTCTTTGACTTCCATTCAAGTCCAGGTCCCTGGCTCTGGGAGTTCCGCTCCTGCAGAGCTTGTCTGGACGTGAGAACAGAAGCCAAGGGAAGTATTTGCTTTGGAACAAAATAAAAAAGGGGACAGGGATGGATTTCTGGAGGCGCTCACCATTTCTCAGAAAGGAGTCATCTGTTTCTCATAAGGTGGGGTGTGGGAAGTGGAATCTATTTTCCTGGCCTGTCTGGAGTAGCTCCTTACTAGTCTAGCCACAGCTCCTGCAGGTCAGGACCAGGCCCCACCACAGCCAGGGCTACACTTTGAAAATGGACTTGAATTTCTTTTGAGTCTTCAAAGGTTAGGCTGGAAGCTTCTCCAGTTGCTCCCGTCCTCTCCTCCATAACTGAATGGGTATGTGTGTGCCTGGATGTGTGAGCTCACGGAAGAGTGGGAGGACATTGTGGGGGAAGGTGTCCGGTGAGGCCTCAGTTCCTGGCTCTGGAAAAGACTACAATCACCCTGAGTTAACTTTCTAAAGGCTTTTTAAGCTCTCCAGTTCCTCTCTGTGGGATTCAAGAAATCACTTTCCTGATTCAGCTAAAAGGACCAGCCTGGTTGCAGAAGCACCCGGACAGAACCACATCTTGGACCATTATTGAAAAGGAAAAGGTGGCTGGGCATGGTGGCTCACAGCTGTAATCTTAGCGCTTTTAGGAGCTGAGGCAGGCATACTGCTTGAGCCCAGGAGTTTGTGACCAGTCTGGACGACATAGCAAAACCCCATTTCTTAAAAAATTAGCTGAGCATGGTGGTGCGCACCCGTAGTCCCAGCTACTCAGGAGTCTGAGGTAGGAGGATTGTCTGAGCCCAGGAAACAGAGGTTGTAGTGAGCCGAGATCACACCATTGCACCCCAGACTGGGTGACAGAACAAGCCCTGCCTCAAAAAAGGAAAAGGTGGGGGGTGGGGAAAGGTGCTTTTCCATAGAAGTTTTGTTTCTACCTTTTCAGGCATCGAGTTTATGGTTTATTCCTAGCATATCACCATTTCATTCACCTTCACTTCAAAAAACAAAAAAGGCAGCCACAGCGTAGAGTTTTTATTTTCTTTCTTTATTTATTATTTTGCAATTATTTGGTTTTTTACTGAGTCAAGGCACGTACTAAGCGAGGTTCAGAAGCCCTACTGAATGCTGATCTTCCCAAATGCTTCCCTTAGGCTGAGGGGGACAGATCATGGTAAATGAGGAAGGAATGCCCCTCCCCACCCACCACCGACTGCCCAGCCATTCAGTCCCCACCCCTACCCCCAGCAGAAGAGAAGCCAGTTGGTGGAGGTGGGGTGGGGAAAGTGGAGTTGCCACAGCTTGTTGCAAACGGAAGACGGATGTCAGCGGTGTCAGTGCCACATCTCTCAGCAGCCTCAAATTACTGCCCCAGGATTTCTATGAAAAGAGATGGGAAGTGTGGAGAGACAGAACTCATAATACTTGCAGGTTAATAAGGATTGTGCATCTGCTTCCATGAGGAACTCCTGACCTCATTGTTGTGCCTCTGAGGGCCAAGGAAAGGTCTGGTCAGGTGGGCTTATCTGCCTTTGTCAAGAATGCAGTACCCTGCCAGAGAGGACAGGAATCTAACATTTCATGAGCTCGTCCCATGAGCCAACATTGAGCTAAGAGCTTCACACATTCTCTCATTAAATCTTCACCACAAACATGTGCAATACGTGTTATTATCCCAGAGGAGGGGCACCTGAGACTCAGGCTATACGTTGGACAGGATAGGTTAGGTTGTGCTGCAGTAACAAACAGTTCTAAGAATCTCAGCAGTTTTACACGACTGGTGTATATTTCTCCTTCACACAGCCACCTTCCAAGCAGGCACTCAGTGATCCTGGCTGCTGTGATCTTTGGGTCCCCCAGTGTCAACACAAGGCCTCCTCTACAATTGCCGTGAGAGGGAAAGAGAGAGAATGGAGAATCACGCATGAGTGTTTCACTAGCCTGGAAGCGAACTTCCTCTATTGTTTCATTGGTCAGAACTAGTCCCCATGGCTCTACCCAACAGCAAGGGAGCTGAGAGGTACAATCTCCCATGTGCTGGGAAGGGGAGGAGGTCTATTGGTGAACCAAGTTCTGCCTAAAGCCAAAGCCCGAGGTCTGTGCATGACACTCAGGGTCAATGAGAGGAATCCCTTCCCTCCAGCCTCAGCCAGCAAGCATTGTGTGAGCGTGTCCCTTGAATGACTTTGTGGGGCACACTTGAAGTCATCACATTATAGCACTAGGCCCTTGTTGTTCCACAAAACCCCACCATCTTCAAAGCTTTTTAACTGTATGTTGGTTCACCAAATCCCCAAAACACCATAAGGAAGTGGGCAGGGCAGTTATTCATAGGCTCCCTTTTCTAGCTCAAGAAACTGAAATCAGGAAGGTTACAAGACTTGACATGCTCAGGGCTAGCAATTGAAACACCCAGACTATAACCTATGTCTTTGAAAGTTTAATTTGAAGCTCCTCCCAATACATCCAACTTTCTGTAATTTTAGAATCTGAAAAGACCACTCTTTCCCCCAAAAAATATCTCTTTGACCTGCTCGCTAATGCCTAAAATTCCACCATTGAAATGCCATGCCTTCTGTTGACCCTCCTCTAGAGGAAATGAAAGTAAGAGAGACATCATCATTAATGTACATTAAACAATTATAGTATAAAGTCAAACAACCTTAAGTTCAAAAACATTTGAGTTAGAATTTAGAGAATGTGCTGTTTTATGATAACCTCAAAGAGAAAAAAAGAAAGAATTTAGAGGCCGGGCACGGTGGCTCGTGCCTGTAATCCCCGCACTTTGGAAGCCCGAGGTGGGTGGATCACGAAGTTGAGAGATCGAGACCATCTTAGCTAACACGGTGAAAACCCGTCTCTATTAAAAATACAAAAATGAGCTTGGAGTGGTGGCAGGCGCCTGTAATCCCAGCTACCCAGGAGGCCCTGAGGCAGGGAGAACTGCCTTCAACCTGGGAGGTGGAGGTGGCAGTGAGCCAAGCATTGGGCACTCGCCACCTCCAGCCTGAGTGACAGAGCAACACTCCATCAAGAAGAAAGAAAGAAAGACAGAAAAGAAAGAAGAAGGAAGAGAGAGAGAGAGAGGAAAGAAAGAAAGAAAGAAGAAAACGAAAGAAGAAAGAAAGAAAGAAAGAAAGAGAAAGAAGAAAGAAAAAAGAAAGAGAAAGAAAGAAAGAAAGAGAAAGAAAGAGAAAGAAGAAAGAAAGAAAGAAGAAAGAAAGGAAAGAATTTAGAGAACAGAGAGATCAGAGTGAAAGGTAGAGTCAAGGAAGGCTCTATGGAGAAGCTGCTGGCCCCGGTGAGATGTGGATGGAAGATGGAAACTCTAAAGTCCCTTTTCTCATCCTTTGGACCCCTGCATCCCACTCCTCAGGGATAGTGAGTGCTAACAGTTGGTCACATGATATATATTCATTTTGGAAAGGGAAACTCCATTCCAGATGACAATTCCCTCCCAATTCTCTTTCCTCTATTCTATCTTATTGCGTTCAAAAATCTGCAGAGTGCCTTTCCATTTACTATTTTGTTTAATTCTGTGAGCAATTCTGTTAGAAAATTGAGAGGTTGGAAGGATCTTTCTTCCTGTTTGACAAAAAACTGAATCCTACCGAGGCTGAAGTGACTTATCTAATATCAGAGCAAACCAGTGACGGAACTTAAATAAAGAAGCAAAAATGTCAAAGAGTAATAATCATCAATCCTCATAAGCATGTGGTGAAAGTGTCACATTTATAGCTACCTGATGGTGTAAAAATTAGTACATTTTGTAAAACCCAAAGCTGGCCAAGTGTGATGGCTCATGCCTGTAATCCTAGCATTTTGGGAGGCTGAATCGAGAGGATCACTTGAGCCCAGGAGTTCCAGACCAGCCTGGGCAATGTGACAAGACCTCATCTCTACAAAAAATACAAAAATTAGTCAAGCGAGGTGGCACGCATCTGTGGTCCCAGCTACTTAGGGGGCCAAGGTGGGAGAATCACCTGAGCCTGGGAGGTCAAGGCTGCAGGGATCTGTGATCATGCCACTGCACTCCAGCCTGGGCGACAGAGTCGCACATACACACAAATACACACACACACACACACACACACACACACAGACAAAATAAAAATAAAAAACCCAAGGCTTTATTATAAAATATTTAACATATATAACATAATTTGTGTAATGCATATATAGTATTTAGAATAATAAAACATATTTACCACCCTGCTTATTACCAATGTCCTAAAACACTATGTCTCTTTAAGTTATAAAAATAATATGTGGCCAGGTGCGGTGGCTCACGCCTGTAATCCTAGCACTTTGGGAGGCCAGGGGGAGGCAGGGAGTGCAGATCACTTGAAATCAGGAGGTTAAGACCAGCCTGGCCAACACGGCAAAATCCCATCTCTACTAAAAGTACAAAAATTAGCTGGAAATGGTGGTGCACGTCTATAATCCCAACTACTTGGGAGGCTGAGGTGGGAGAAACGCTTGAACCTAGGAGGCAGAGGTTGCAGTGAGCTGAGTTCTATCCACTGCACTCCAGCCTGGGCAACAGAGCAATACTCCATCTCAAAAAAAAAAAAAAAAAATAAAGCCATGCAAAAAAAAAAAAAAAAAAAAAAAAATTCAAGCCATACAAAAGATGGAAAACTTTTAAAAATTATTTATTAATGTATTACTTACTTACTTAATTAATGTATTTATTTTAGAAACCGGGTCTCACTCTGTCACCCAGGCTGGCCTGCTGTGGCGCAATCATACCTCACTGCAGCCTGGACCTCCTGGGCTCAAGCAATGTTCCCTCCCACCTCAGCCTCCCAAGTAGCTGGGATTGCAGGTGTGAGCCACCCTACCTGGCTCAGAAGATAGAAACTTTAAAGTCCCTCTACTCATGCTGTTGACCCCTGCATTCCACTCCCCAAGGATAATGACTGCTAACAATTAGCTACACGATATGTGTTGATTTTGGAAAGCAATCCACCAATATATATTCAAAGTCATAAATATGTTTGTAACTTCTGGTCCTATTACCCACTCTGGGAATTTATTCCAAGAAAAGACCTCCCAGTGTTCCCTCCTTTCCTATAAAAATGGCCAAGTTCATTCCCACACAAGTCTTTCTCTTAACTGTTTTCTATCTGAAAACCTGTTCCCCTGGATTTGCTCATGATCTGATGACCGGTGAGGTCCAGCTCAAATGCCACTGCCTCTGAGAGGCCACCCACGGTCACCTGTCTATACTTGTTCCCTCCCCCCACATCACTGCCTTTTACTTTGCCCTGCACTATTATTTCCTTGCATCTACCATTCTCTGAGGTCACCTTGTTTAATTGCCAGTTCACTAATTTGTTCTATCTCCTCTCCTACCCCATCATAAGTCCCTTGAGAGAGGGCCTCTGTTGCCTGCCTTGCTGTCTGCTGCACCCCCAGTACCTGGCACACAGTAAGAATGCAGGTCTTAGCTGAAAGGATATGTCTGTTCGTGAAGCTACTCAAGTAAGGGATGTTATTTGACTCACCTGGAAACCCAGGCAGCTACTTCTGCAGAGAGATAGTTCTTGCCAGCTTCCAAGACCCTAAGGAACCACTGTGTGGGATGTCAGACGGGCCTAATGGCCATGCCGTCATTTCTCCCAGCAGAATGGGTGCCTTTCAGATGTAGACACAGTAAAGCCAACAGTCTGTCCTCTCTTTAAACCCTTTTTATTCTTGGCTTCTAAAACAAAGAAGAGGTAAAGAAAATCCACTGGGCCAGGGCTCTGTCAAAGAACACCCAGGCTGCACTTAATTAAGATGAATAATTTAAAGACTCTTAAGTCAGACAATGGAAACATTAAGAGTTTCCACCAAAACATAAACTTGGCCAAGTGGGCCAGGTCTCCAGAAGCCTCCAAGGACATTCTCAGCAATGGAGGGATGGTGTCTTGCTTAGCCTGGGGGTGGGGAGTGGAGTTTTGGGTGGAAAGAAGGTAGGAGAAAGGGAAACCTGAGTTCTCATCTGGGCTCCACAAACATATGCTAGGTTGTTTAGGCTGCGTGACTCTCCCTAACTTGTTTCCTTATAATGAAATAAAACATGTTGGCTGGGCTTGGCGGCTCACGCCTGTAATCCCAGCACTTTGGGAGCCGAGGTAGGCAGATCACAAGGTCAGGAGTTTGAGACCATCCTGCCTAACACAGTGAAACCCCGTCTCTACCGAAAATACAAAAAAACTAGCCAGGTGTGGTGGCAGGGGCCTGTAGTCCAAGCTACTTGGGAGGCTGAGGCTGGAGAATGGCGTGAACCCGGGAGGCGGAGCTTGCAGTGAGCCGAGATTGTGCCCCTGTACTCCAGCCTGGGCAACTCAAAAAAAAAAAAAAAAAAGTTATGTAGATTAATCAAAAGAAAA